CCATCCGCTACCCCTCCACGCGGTCTCCACAAGAACTCTTTGACTTGTCCTTTGTGCCCGGGGAAGCTATGTACCAAAGGCAAGTCATCCTCTGGACTTGAGCCCTCTCCAGCTCGCCGGCTGTAAAGGTGAAGATCATTGTTGCCTCTCTGTGGCATTGCAAGCATACCCCATCCAAACGGTGTATTGCGTGCCCGCCACACGGGGAATGGCGTGTGAATCTGCTTCTCTGGGACATCTGAATCAGAGGTGTAGTCCCAAAACTTGATGGTTCTATCTAAAGAACATGTAACTAGAGCACCGCGTCGAACACGATTCCAGTCAACTCCATAGATCTTGGTGTTATGTGCTTCAATCGATTTAATTGGATATGCGCCCATGCGGTCATCCCAAATCCGAAGGAACCGGTCATGAGAGCTTGCAATGACATGAGGGTCTTGTCGATTCCATTTTACCTGAGTTGCACCAGTAAACCAATCCGAGAATGAAACCGCTGGCCGCGACGGAGTACGTAAATCCCAGCAGTGCACAAAGCTGTCCACGGAACAGGTCGCTAGGACATCTGGGTGGAAAGCTGAGAAATTGATATCGGTAATTGCTCGAGAGTGGGCGTGAAGCACAATTTCAATGGAGTTCTGCCATGTCTTCATGGCCAAATTCCAAACCAATGCTTTCTGGTTGGATGTACTAACAACCCACTGATCGCGTGCAGCGAATGGCGACCATTGGACATCAGCTACCTCCCATGGTGTGTGGTGAGGGAGATACCGCGGTGGAGAATATGGCGAGTCTAGGTCGATGACATGTAGACCCTCCTTGGACGCTAGAACGACATCCCGTCCACAGGGGGATATTGACATAGAACCTACCGGTTGCTCTACATGAAAGGAGCTGTCCTCTTCAAACGTCGGGCTCTCCATGGCCGACGTAAGTGGCCTCGGTTCCATCGAGCTAGACATGGTGACTGTGATTGCCGCTCTGTTTAATCTCCGGTGTTCGTCGGGCCGCGATCTTGCAGGAACCGGAAAGTCAAAGGTCTATCCATGCATATAACACAAGACCATATGTATTAGGTAGTTATGTACCTGTTCCCATTTTCCACAATGGCATCCGCTATTCTTGTTTCATGGTCGAAGATGACTGCTATATCATCGACATGTCGCGAAGACTGGAGAGTTGGGTTACGATAATGCGATAAGGACAAGGGCGGTGCTGTGGCTGTGGATGTGGCTGTCACTGCATGATTATGACATCACATGATCTCGTATACGGGACGCGAAACAACCCCGCCATGCAAGAGCCCCTCGGCCGGTTACGTCGAGATCTGGATCTGTTCTTTTTTTAGTTGACTTGCCCTTTACTTTTCTCTATTGGCTTTTTCCGATTACATATTGTGGCCCTACCCAACGTCCAAAGTGTGCGGGTTCCTGGTCTTTTTTTTAGGAATAGTCTCCTCGTCTGAAATTACTAAACCAGGTCTACACGCGTGTCGATAAGCCGGTTCGCCATGGCTTTACCCAAGAGAATCATTAAGGAGACAGAACGTCTGATGGCAGAGCCGTAAGCAGCTCATCTCGCTCAAAAAGTCCTTTGCATAGTAGCTAACATGTTGTGCTTGGGTTACAGTGTTCCAGGCATTAATGCTGTGCCCCATGACGATAACCTCCGCTATTTCGACGTCTCAATTCACGGACCTGCGCAATCTCCATACGAGGGTATGCTCGCGGTACCAAGATCCTTATGCCCAATTGAAGTACTAACCTACTTTCTGCAGGTGGTATCTTCCGACTTGAGCTCTTCCTGCCAGACGACTATCCTATGACCCCACCCAAAATCCGCTTCCTGACCAAGATCTACCACCCCAACATCGATCGTCTGGGTCGCATCTGTTTGGATGTCTTGAAGAGTAAGACCCAATACGATTTGTTCTCAAGCTGCGAATATCTAACCATGTTTTTTAGATAATTGGTCTCCAGCTCTCCAGATTCGTACCATTCTACTCTCGATTCAAGCACTGCTTGGAGCCCCGAATCCCGACGACCCGCTCGCCAATGACGTTGCTCAGAGATGGAAGGACGATGAACCTGCTGCGATCCAAACAGCAAAGGAGTGGACTCGGACACATGCTATGACCTAAGTCCGTTGGTGTTATGTGACCATGAAGTGCAGGACAACCCTTTCTATTTGTGATAGCAGGCATTGAATTCCAAGCGTTTGTTATTGGGCAACCTTGTTGCTTTGAGTAGGATTCCATTATCTGCTCCTCCCATTACCCTTGTCTCAAGTTATTCTAGCTTTTTCTAGAAGGCGTTGTAGAGAAACAACCTTGTCAGGCGCGTTTAGCTTTAATCATCCGTTCATACCAAACATAATCTAATGTAGTTCAGCCACTTACAGTCTCCGGATTGGACTGATTGTTAAGACTCACATCTGTTTGGCCCAGGATGATGTTAGGGATGTTGTATGTAAGAGCAAACCGATGTGTTTTTGGATGTTCCTTTTTAAATGTGTACCAAGATCGTGAAGGCTTGAACCAGCGTACAGAGCACATTTTAAGTATAACCAGGGGACTTGATCTATTCCTAATTTCCAACTCTGATAGAAACGGCCATTGAAGAAGAGATGTACTCCAACCGTGTATGTGTAGACTGAGTTCACATAATTGCATATGAGGATGGTGCTTGAGCCACTCCACCACGAAAAGCTTCCACCTGCATATGTGGTCCAGATTAAAAGGAAAATCGACTTCATCGAGGGCCAGGAGTAATCCGTCGACGAAAATTCCATGTTCCTTGCGTTTTGTCGTGGATTTCTCAGAAAAGGAAGGTGAATTTATGTAACTTCAAGTATTTTATCATTTCCACTTATAGCGATGTATAGTTGGAGGTAGAGACTAAATAATAAAATGCACGTTACGCAATTATCCCGATCAGAGATCGTAAGGTATTGGAAGAAAGAGGCATATCATGTGACCTTATCGATAAGTCGACCTGGAAAGGGCAGAGGCGGTCACGTGTCGCACTTTAGCGAGCGCCCGCACCACAATTGGGTCAGTAACATCACCGCGATCCACGATTTACGACAACCACTCAACGCCAACCGACCCCCGTCAGCGCATCTCCATCCGTCAAGATGCGTACTTACGACGACGCCTTCAGCGGCCAGAAGATCTACCCTGGCAAGGTGCGTTTGCAATTCCCGTCGTCGCTTTTGGGAGGAATTTGTGTGCGAGGGAGCAACGGCCTCACGGATTCGACATTCACACTTCGATATTTCAATACCGTCACAATTGTCGCTCTTCGTACTAGCCGAACCGCCGCACATGAATTCCGCCGTCCTTTTATTGCTGCTAGAAGCTAATCTTTGATCTTCAATGTTTTAGGGCAAGCTGTTCGTCCGTGGCGACAGCAAGATCTTCCGCTTCCAGCGTGGAAAGTCCGAGTCCCTTTTCCTTCAGCGCAAGAACCCCCGCCGCATCGCATGGACTGTTCTCTTCCGTCGCCAGCACCGCAAGGGTATCTCTGAGGTCGGTCGCCCCTCCCCTTGGATTATTGTTAGATTGTGTGGAGGCACAAAAGGCCGAATCGAATGGTGACGCAAACCATGAGACGGAGCAAGAGGAGGAATTATCACGTCACCATGACTCAGATCAAATAATGGAAAATGCGACTACAGATTACTGACCGGGTTATCTTTTTGGATATATAGGAGGTCGCCAAGAAGCGCACCCGCCGTGTTGTCAAGAACCAGCGTGCCATCGTTGGTGCTTCCCTCGATGTGATCAAGGAGCGCCGTTCCCAGCGCCCCGAGGCCCGTGAGGCTGCTCGCAAGCAGGCCATCAAGGACGCCAAGGAGAAGAAGGCTGCTTCCGCCAGCGCCAAGAAGGCTGAGAAGGCCAAGACCGCCGCCGCCAAGGGTGGTGCCCAGCGCATCCAGAGCAAGCAGGGTGCTAAGGGCTCTGCTCCCAAGGTCGCCGCCAAGTCCCGCTAAATTTCTTTATGAAATAGTTGGGAATGGAGGTGTTCGGATAGGAGCAGCGCTGTGACGGTTGCGATATGATGGAACTTACGGGCACCGGAGCTGGAGTACTGTCTGTGAGGACTGGCCTTGGGCCTTGACCTTGTTTCTGGAAATACTTTATGCAATACAATTTCATGCAGAAAAATGGGAACAAAGGAATCAAAAAATGAATCCCCATGCGAGTATTAAAATTATGTTCTTACCCAACCTCCAGCAATGGAACGTTTCTTGCTTTTCCCCCTGGGGATTCATGTCCACCAGACCTACTCATGAGTGGTTGGATATGTCCCAGTCGGTTATTGCCAACGAAGTAGTCCAGATTCGGGCCCCCGATCTATAATTGAATTTCATGTGTTGATTTGTTCTAAACCTTTGACGTTGAATTTACGAGATGGAACATTTTTTCTGGCATTTTCATGACCTAGACTGTTAAACTGAACTTTTCTATTCTGACTAGAGGATGATCTTCCAAATCGAATAATGATATATAATTGTCATGTCTCATGCACATCTATACTTAGACCATCTAGGTCTCCATCCCCGCGATGCATTGATTTCAAACTCTCGAAGAAGCAGAGACAATACAAACAACATCAATAGTGTTACAAGCTCAGATGGGATCGCCACAATGGCTGAAGCACCATCATCATGATCACGATTGGTAGACTAAGCACTTCCCACCCCTAGGATCTCAGGGTGCGCAATTGAGTTCCAATAGTGGAGGGTGGATGCAAAATCCTACAAATGCCCCAGTTGCTCCTTGTGATGTGCCGGAAGGCCATGCTAATCACGATTGACTAGGGCCAGGTGCAACCCAACCCCGTTCTCTCAAATGCAACAATTGTATGGTTTGCGCAAGTTTATCGTGAACAATGACGCCTCGCCAAATCCTCGCCGGACTAAGTGACCGAAATGATCCAAACGCTATATCAAACAACTGGCATGAACCAGGAGGGGAGGAAACAAGAATCAAGAAACGCTCAGTAATAATGCGCCATCTCGAGGCCAGCGCGCTTGAAGCCACACTTGACATAGAAACCCTCATTGACTTCGGAGCAGTCAAGAATGCTCTGTAAACGAGTCAGCAATGAACGATGACACAGAGGTATAAGAACACATACCTTGTAGCAGCCAACCTGAGCAGCAACAAAATCCAAAGCCTGGATAATTCTCAAGCCAAGCTTCTTGCCCTGCTGGTTCTTCTCAACGGCAATGTCTTCAATGTGACCAACCATACCGAGCGAATGAATGAACTTGCGCTCAACGATCAGACTGCCAGTTCCGACGACTCGGTCCGCACCATCGCAGATTACGAGCATGTAGTACTCATCATTGCGCGAGGTGATCCAATCGTACCGCTGGTTCCACGCTTCCTCAGTAATTTCGCCAACGGTTGTCAGCACGCGCAACACGTCCAGGTAGCCGCGGTTGTAGTCTGAGCGGCGCATGGGCCGGATGGTGTAGTCTGTTGGCAGGAGAGAGATCACTTCGGGGGAGATGAGGGTGGGGGGAAGAGGGGACCGTCGGTGACGGGATCGACTGCGGTGTCCACTGGTGTGACGGTTGAGCTCATGATTGGCTTCGTGGCTTCGGGGATTGTGTTGCTTGCAAGGGCGTGTGCGGTCATTTTGGTGGTTAGAGTGAGAGTGTTGAAGAGATTGAGGGTCGAGTGCGGGTTGTTTATCAGGGGCCGGGGGTCGCAAGGGAGATCGGCGGACTTGGATTTGGTAAGTCAATTTGTTTTGGGTGAACTTTAATATATAATTGAGGAGTAATACAAGAGTTTCGATGCAGAAAAGAAGAAATTTTCAAGTTGAGAAATAAGTACTTGACTTTGAAGGGTTCAGGTACGGCCCTGCAGGTGAGACACCGCCACTAAGGGGGGCTTTTCTATAAATACTCTCCATACCAAGGGACGACTAGTGGATTCTTTTTTTGTTTCTCACGGGCCTTTTCTCAGTATAATCTGCTTATTTTGCATTGGAAAACCTAAGGCTATTGAAATATACATATTTATATTAGAATGATCTCAACAACTCCAATTCGCAAGTGTTCTTGATCGGCTTGGCGGTCGAAGATGCTATTTATAACACCAAAAGAAGTTAGGATCTACAGCATATCTACAACATAACACAAGGTGATTAAATATAATATTCTTTTCATTGTACATATCCTATCGGAAATGGTCTATAATATCACAGGACAGCATTGCTGTTCATCTATTTCAACTCCTTGGGAGCCAGCATCAGCTCGGGGCGGACATACTGGTCGAACTCCTCCGAGGTGAGAGCCTTGAGCTCCATAGCGCTCTCCTTCAGGGTAAGGTTCTTCTTGTGAGCGTTCTTGGCCACCTTGGAAGCCATGTCGTAACCAATGACAGGGTTCAGGCAAGTCACGAGCATCAGACTATCATACAGTTAGAATTTGCCATCAAAAAGTAAGGGGAGAGTTAAGCACATACCTCTCGTTAAGAAGGGAGTTAATCCGTGACTCGTTAGCCTCCAGACCCTCCACCAGGTGGGAACGGAAGCTGTTCATGCCATCAGAGAGGATGCGCACGCTGTGGAGCAGGTTGGCGATCATCACGGGCTTGAAGACGTTAAGCTCGAACTGGCCGTTCATGCCACCGATGGTGGCAGCGACATGGTTACCCATAACCTGAGCGCAGACCATGGTGAGGGACTCGCACTGGGTGGGGTTGACCTTTCCGGGCATGATAGAAGAGCCGGGCTCGTTCTCGGGCAGGCTCAGCTCGCCCAGGCCGCAGCGAGGGCCGGAGCCCAGGTAGCGCACATCCTGGGCGATCTTGAACAGGGAGGCGGCCAGGGTGTTCAGGGAGCCGGAGGCCTCGATGATAGAATCGTGGGCAGCCAGAACCTCGAACTTGTTGGGGGCGGTCTTGAACTCGGTGCCGGTCAGCTTGGTGATCTCGGCAGCGACAGCCTCGTCGAAGCCCTTGAAGGTGTTGAGACCAGTGCCGACAGCGGTACCACCCTGAGCCAAGAAGCGCAGGTGGGGAATAGTAGCCTCGACACGCTCGATGTTACGGTCGAGCTGGGCGACGTAACCAGAGAACTCCTGGCCAAGAGTAAGAGGAGTGGCATCCTGCAAGTGGGTACGGCCAATCTTGATGATGTGCTCGAACTTGTCCACCTTCACCTGGAGGGCATCGCGGAGGCCCTTGAGCGAAGGCAGAAGAGACTGCTCGAGCTCGATAACGGCAGCGATGTGCATAACGGTGGGGAAGGAGTCGTTGGAGGAGGCGGACATGTTAACGTGGTCGTTGGGGTGAACAGGCTTCTTGGATCCCATGGTACCACCGAGGATCTCGATGGCACGGTTGGAGATGACCTCGTTAGAGTTCATGTTGGACTGGGTGCCGGAACCAGTCTGCCAGACGACCAAAGGGAAGTGGTCCAGCAGCTTACCCTCGGCGACCTCAGCGGCGGCCTGCTTGATAGCCTCACCAATCTTGGGGTCTGATACAAGTCAATAACCTAGCGGATATCTAATTTCCGCGAAAGCTTCACATACCGAGGCCGTACTTCATGTTCACTTCAGCAGCAGCACCCTTCAGGATACCGAAGGCCTTGACCACCGGGGCGGGCATGCGGTCCTGGGGCTGGTTGATGTCGAAGTTGCCGAGAGAGCTGTATCCATCAGCGACCTCATTCTTGTTTTCCATTGTAACGTATTGATTCGACGGGGCGTCTTACCGCTGGGTTTGCGCACCCCAGTATTTGTCTCCAGGGACCTGTTGAGGAAATCATTAGCTCTATACGGCACCATTGCTGTGTCAATAATCACTCACCTGGATTTCACCAAAGGCATCGCTCTCGGTACGAGCGTTAACAGACTAGATCACATCAGTTTATCGGAATTTGTTTGTCCGCCGCGCTCCCAAGACAGCATACCATTTTCACGGTAGTTCCAAAGGCTCGCTTGTTGGAGAAAGTGTTCAAAGATTGAAGGCGGGGGAACTGAGCAAATTGACGGGTATTAGAGCTCAGAGACCGGGTAGCAAAGGGCGACAAAACGGTGCGAGCTGCGGGGGTGGCTCTGGCCGCACATGTCAAGGTGGCCATAGAGCGCACCGCGGCTCGGGAGGAAGTGGGATTCATTGTGCGACAATTGGGTTGTACCAAAGAAGGTATACAAAGGCTCACACCAAGCTTCTGAGGCTTCAATGGGAAGTGAAATCAAGGGTCTCCTTTAAAAGAAAAGTCTCAAATTGAGGTCAGCTCAACTCTCCGAGTCCCCTGCCGAAATTTCCCGGTATCGGCAGGACCAAAGGGAGACGGGTTGTTCGGCAGTGATTCGTGTAATATTTGGTAATATTCGGTAATATTTGGTAATATCCGGTTTCCGTACTCTGTACTCTAGTGATTATTTATTGACAGGTTGAACTTTCATCCCTTGAAGCTGCCGCTTCATTGTCGCAATCACCTTTTCATTATATCGCTGACCTCCCTCCAGAATTCCATCAAGTCCAGCGACCAAATGTGGAGCACCTGCAATTCGGTCTATCTCTACAGATACCCCAGCAGCTTGAAGCTTAGCTGCATACGCTTCTCCTTCATCGCGCAGCGGATCCAATTCCGCCGTAGACACCAACGCAGGGGCCAAGTTCTGGAAGGTTGGTGCGAGAATGGGTGATATCTTCCAATCCTATGCAAATTAGCATCATATTTGCAATTATTTCATGTTCGAACTTACCTCGTTTGACTCCGCCGGTCGAGGAACTCCTAGAAATTGTCGATGGAAATATGCCATACGCGCTGCTGGTAGCGCTGGCGCAAACTCCATCTCCCGGTATGATTCGTAGGGACAACCTTCGCGGTCAAACTCACCTTCAGGGGTGAAGACACGGTGCAAGTCTGTCACCGGCACAGTCAAGATTTGCAAACGCAGAGGAATGTTTGCATCACGGCAAAGATGGCTGATGACGGCCGAAAGTTGACCTCCAGCCGACGCACCTCCCACTGCGAACCTATCAGGATCTAGATGGAACTCAGTCGCTTTGTGGGAGCGAATCTAGACGTTTCCTCGTCAGTACTTGGTTCTCATGCAAAGTGGTCCTAACCTCGGAGATTCCTACCCAATTGAAAGCAGTCCAACAATCATTCACAGGAATGGGATATTTATGCTCGGGAGCCAGTCGGTAATCCACGTCAAATGCGACAAGGTCCCCATCAAGACCATGGACAACTCTCTTGCAGAAATCGTGGTCGTAGGCTAGTCCACCAAACACCCACCCACCACCATGGAAGTTGACATAGGCTGCCCTCCTCTTCGGCTGACCCTGGTCATCAAGCTGGGGTGCTGGCTCAAATATTCGTATGGTAATTTCACCGCCATCGACAGGACATTTCTGTTCTGTGATGCGGAAAATATCAGGGCCGGGAGCTCGGCCATAGGAAATGGTATAACGAGCAGGGTTCTTGCGGAACTCTTCAATCGGGATCTCATGCGTATGGAGTCGCCCTGCATTGAATGCATTATAGTATGCGACGTATACTGGATCATACCGAGGGAGCAGCTCCGGGGGGATGCTATTGTGAAGTGGCTGGACGATGGTTGGAACCCGAAACTTTTGCAATGCAGGATTACCACCTGCTACGGGTTGAGAGGGCATATTAGAATCCAAAAAAAAAATCAACACTGCCTGATTTACTTAATAGATTGTTTAAACGATAGGGCACGGAAGAGGATGTGGTTAAGAGCAGGCATCGAAGTCCATGTAGTACAGACTGCGGGGTCATTTGGACACATATAAATGTACACACTTGTATGGATGTGCCAACTTCGGTCTATATCCCATAGGTAAGGTATGCACATAATGTCCGTGTCAGAATCTTCCAAGTTGTTTGTGTAGCAAAATCCCGAGTTCAAGTGTATTTATCTTCCTCGGCTGCAACTCAATATATGTCAAATAATAGATTGAAATAGTAGCTCGACAAAACCTGACAAGTGATGGCTAGCCAAATAGGCTTTCCTTTTGATATCCTGGGTTTTACCCTGTTCAAGTACATTTCCTAGGTGTTCACCTTATAACCGGACAGATGAAGCATACCATACAATAAAGGATCTAGCCGTGACTAGGCTTTTCTATATTGGAATATTGATAGGAGCATTACAAATGTTTATCTAGAGATCCAAAAGGAGAATAATAAGAGCCATACAAAACAATCCATAGATGTTGTTGTAGAACAAGTTAAGAATGGAAAGTAGATGTCATCTTGTATCGATATATATCTCCGTCCACTATATATCGTTGCGCAGCCGCCCCTTCCAAGTATTCCCAATAACACACCACGAGCTATCACCATCCCACCTTGAATAGAGTGCTACACAAGCAAAACTCACATTTGTCCTTTTGAGAAGCGTTTATAATGCGCGTCAGCAGACATTGGATGACGTTTCTTGCTGATGTTTAGAGTTTAATCCTCCAAGATGAGGTCAATAACCCATCTCAAAGGCTGCTCATCAACCAGCACATGCCTAAACTAGAAGGTTATTGACGGCTATCTTTTTATTTAAATCAAACGAAGATGAAGGCATTGCAAGTTGCATTCCTTCCAAGCAACCCCCTAGAATCCGCTACTAAGCGGGACTTTCCGCGGGGCA